CAGTGAGAAGAGTCCATTGTTGGGATGGGAGAGGTCCATCATAATCTTCCTAGCTTTGGACTTGCACCGCTTGGTGTAGATGGACAGCAGGTCAGGGAGCTCTGATTGAATGATGCGTTCTGCCGAGCGCACCACCCTTTGCAGATCTCGTCTGTCCTGCTTGGTGCTGTTCCCAAACCAAACCATATATCATTGTGATGTTGTTTATTCTATTACTCTTGTTCTCTTCTGCTTGTTTTCTTTTTTCTTTCTCAACAGGTGATCCAGGTGATCGATATATGCATTTTTTTTTCTGCCCATTCTGTTGGTTTTTGTTTTTTGCCCTTCTCCCCCGCCCCTCTTCTCAGCTGTTTCTCTTTCCCTCTTTCTTTCTCCCCAGTCAAGTCTGTCCCGTATTCAGCAAGTGAAAATAAAATAAACAATAAAAAGTGAATCAAATGGACCATTACGGCAAGGCTGGGATGGTCAATTTGGTAAAGTAAATCCGTTGGGCATCTTTCTTTGCCTTTAGACAATAATTCTGATGGCAAAAGAGCCAAACGGGACAGGCAAAAAAAAAAAAGAAAAAAGAAAAAGAAAAACTAGTTCATGCATTTATTACTTCCAGGCTGGACGACTGTAATTCAGTATTATCAGGAAGTCCTAAAAACTCCCTGAAAAGCCTTCAGCTAATCCAAAATGCTGCAGCAAGAGTCCTGACAGGGACTAGAAAGAGAGCAGATTTCTCCTGTTTTGGCTTCCTGTTAAATCCAGAATTCAAAATCCTGCTCCTCACATACAAGGTCTTAAATAATCAGGCCCCATCTTATCTTAATGACCTTGTAGTACCATATCACCCTATTAGAGCACTTCGCTCTCACACTGCAGGCCTACTTGTTGTTCCTAGAGTATTTAAAAGTAGAATGGGAGGCAGAGCCTTCAGTTTTCAGGCCCCTCTTCTGTGGAACCAGCTTCCAGTTTGGATTCAGGAGACAGACACTATCTCTACTTTCAAGATTAGGCTTCAAACTTTCCTTTTTGCTAAAGCATATAGTTAGGGCTGGACCAGGTGACCCTGAATCCTCCCTTAGTTATGCTGCAATAGACGTAGGCTGCCGGGGATTCCCATCATGCATTGAGTTTCTCCTTTCCAGTCACCTTTCTCACTCACTATGTGTTAACAGACCTCTCTGCAATGAATCATATCTGTTATTAACCTCTGTCTCTCTTCCACAGCATGTCTTTATCCTGTCTTCCTTCTCTCACCCCAACCAATCACAGCAGATGGCCCCGCCCCTCCCTGAGCCTGGTTCTGCTGGAGGTTTCTTCCTGTTAAAAGGGAGTTTTTCCTTCCCACTGTTGTCAAAGTGCTGCTCATAGGGGCTCATATGATTGTTGGGTTTTTCTCTGTATCTATGAAGCGCCTTGAGGCGACTTTTGTTGTGATTTGGCGCTATATAAATAAAATTGAATTGAATTATCCCAGTTTTAATCTCTTTACATTTCCTACCAGTACATTTTAGAATTTATTTTAAAAATGTAATCCTTGGAGTTCAAGCTCCAGCCTGTATTTCTGAACTTCAAGGACCCTACATCTCTTGCAGTTTTAGATCTTCCAGTCAGAAACTGTTACAAGGTATGAAAAAAAGTCATTATCAGCAGAGGTTTCAGGTAAAACCATTGTGAGACCCTGCCTCACCCTATCATGAAACTTATGATAGTGTCTGGGATGGCATCTCAAAACCGGATTGTAGGAGGCAGACCTCTTTCAATCCATCTGTCTTCTCTGTCCAAAATCTTTTCCTGTTGATGTGGCTCTTCTATCTTGTGACTGTTTGGTTTCTCCAATGTAGAGTTCTGAGCATTCCTCGCTGCACTGCACATACACTGTGTTGTTAGGTTTGTGTTTGGGATGAACCAGTTTGTGTCTGAGTGTGTGGCTAGGTCTGAAGTACACTGGGATGTCGTGCTTGGAGAAGACTCTCCTGAGTTTCTCTGATAAACTTGCTACATCAGGGATGATGATGTTGTTCTGTTTGTCCTTCTGATCCTCCCTCGTTGGTGTCTGATGTTCTTTTCTGTGCATCATTGCTGATTTGAATGCCTTGGAATGCCTTGCCTCAAGGCTTAGAGTGAACATTTTCTGCCCGGTGGTGTAGGGTCCTGATTATTCCAAGTTTGTGTTCCAGAGGGTGGTGGGAGTCAAAGAGGAGGCACTAGTCTGTGTGTGGGCTTCCGGTAAACTTCGGTGTTGAGGTTTCCATTCTCCTCAATGTGCATGGCACAGTCCAGAAACAGCAATCAGTTATCCTTTGTGTCTCACCTGGTGAACTTTATGTTTTTATCCACTGAGTTGATGTGAGCAGTGAAGGATTCCACTTCTTGGGTTTTGATTTTGACCCAGGTTTAAAAGGGAGTTTTTCCTTCCCACTGTCACTGAAATGCTTGCTCATAGGGGGTCATATGTTTGTTGGGTTTTTCTCTGTATGTATTATTGTAGGGTCTAACTTACAATATAAAGTGCCTTGAGGTGACTGTTGCTGTGATTTGGTGCTGTATAAATAAAGATAAATTTCATTGAAAAAGTTGATTTGAATAAGGGCTCGGAAATGTTGTAGGTGGCTGAGTTTATACTGGTAGAAATGGGTCTGAGTGGGACTCCTTTGTGGAGCTTCAACTTACATGTTATAGCATAGTATGTAGGGTGGTTGTTGGAATTTATTTTTTTATCTTTAAGGCTAATATCTAACAATTAGCATCCCATATTTTGTGCTTTTCCCCCCCACTGCACACAGTGTATAGTAGAATAGTTTTGGAATCACTCTCATACTAACAGACAGGGAGAGGGCCATTCTTTGGGCCATAAACCTACTGAAATACGCTCTACATGACCGGATGACAAGAGGTGGTTGTCATGGTAATGGGAGTGTTGCCTGTAGAATGGTCATCTCAAAATAAGGAGATGTCGGGAAAGTTGCAGAAGAAGAAACATGAGCTGACATCAGACCTAAGGCCACACTCAACTCTTTTGATCAACCATGTTAACATTTTGTTTTTTTGACCTGCAATAAAAAGTGTTTACTGCATGGGGGCGGCAGCTTTTTGTCTCTGAGCCAGAGAGGACATCCATGGCTCCATGTAAAACAATTTAAAATTCTAACAATTTTCATACTAAGTTGTGAAAATAATTGGAGCATATTTTTCTTCGCTATCATAAAAAGCCTAACACGGTCAATGCCTTTATCTTCTTCAAGTTGTTGTAGGCAACTGATGACTGTCTTTTTGTGGGATGCTGTTTTAAGGCTTCATAGGTATGTTTGTCACTGGGGAGTGTAGTATTTTCTGTGTGATTATCAGATTTGTTTGGTGCACCTCCCACGCTCAGGGAAGTGACAGCCTTCTTTTCTTGAATTGTGAAGTTAGACAGAGGAATTATTGCAGTGGAGAGAGTAGCTGAAACCTTCATCGTGATTTGCTCTGTTCAGGTTGTGTTCATTTATTATTCCCTATGGTTTGATGAGATCCACTCTGACCAACTGTTTTTGTTTGCAGTGTATAACATTTCCAAAGTTGCCCTTCTTTTCCTTTAATGTCTTGGACCATCCAAGCCTTGATCCGAACTCTTCCACGGCATGCATTTTTTATTTCTCTTTGATATTTGGGCATATTGGGACCCGATGAATGTAAAAACAAAGAATTACCAGATTTTTTTTTACCTTGTTTGTGTTTTTAAGAAAAATAAGAGCCACATATGAGGATATTCGTTTAAAATTTTGATAGAACAGTAGCAGTATAATGTCCTCGTAACCAAAATGTGATATCCACATATGTGGACGCCAGGTCCTAGGAGGTTAAAAAAGTAGGGGAGGAGTGTTTTAAGGCTGATTTATCTTGTTCTGGAGTACATCTATTTGTTAAGTGTCGCTGTGTGCAGACAGGAATAGGACCCAAGGTGCAGACTCCGGAGACAGTCGTGAACTCAAAAAGGCTTTAATTTGGTACTCAAAATATAACATAACTGAAAAAACTCGAAACAAACTTAAACTGGAGGAATGACAGAACACACAGCTAGGAAAACGGTAGATCGCGACACAGACACAGAGAAACACTGGGCTTAAATACACAGAGGGAGCAATCAGGGAATGGGTAACAGGAGGGAAACACAGCTGGGACAAATCAGAACTGACGAGACCAAAGAAGCGTAACCTGAACACACTGAGATAAGACACAGACCTTCAAAGTAAAACAGGAAACGCATAACACAGACTGAACAAAGACACAGACTCACATGCAGGCACTACAAAGGGAACAGAGACGTGGGAACAGGGCAGACACAAACACTGACTGAACACGGGGATATAGGAACTTAAGATACACATAGACGCGAACTAGACAAGGGGATGCAGGTGATAGGGGAGACAGAGCAACTAAAGACGACAGAGACATAAGCCATAAGACAGAACTCAAAGAAACCAAAAACTAGAAATTATAAATAATAACATAAACTCAAAAACCCTGGGTCGACGACCCAGGCATCCTAACACTATTGTGAAATGGGCCTGTCTTATCCTTTTTCTGAAACCTGACTGAAACTTTTCAAATAAGCCATTCCTCTGCAAATGACCTGTTAGCAATTACCCTTTCAAGAATGTTTGATATGAAAGGAAGGTTGGAGGTTGGCCTGTAATTAGCTAATAATTATAATTGGTATAATTGCCGGGTCTGGAGATGGTTTTTTTAAGTAACGGTTTAACTACTGCCAACTTGAAGGCCTGTGGTACATAACCGATTATTAGAGATAGGTTGATCATATTTAAGATTGAAGAATTAATTAATGGCAGGACTTCTCTGAGACCCAGACCGAGGACATGCTGGAGAGATTGTATGTGTCGGCTGGCCTGAGAACGCCTCGGTGTGTGTTACAATGTGTGTGTTACAGTGCGTGTTACAAAGTGCGTTATAGAGTGTGCGTTATAGTGTGTGTTACAGAGTGTGTTACAGTGTGTGTATACCAGTCTAACCTGATGATCCAGCGACAGAAGCTGCTGCTGTTGTATTTGTCTGCCTTTGATGAACTGAACAACCCGCTCGGGCCCCTCAGCACAAACTGTCCGTCACATGCTGTTGCTATAAAGACAAGAGTGATGACATCATCACAGGAAGTTAAATGTTTTTAATGAACACTGTGCCCAACCACGTCTATCCCATGTGTACAGGAAAGCATTTGTGGAGATGTTTCTTTAAGAGAGCTTCTGCTTGTGCTGTTTACTGTTTGGGATTAAACTGGGTAGTTTCAATCAGAGAGCCATGGTTACAGTGTAACAGCACAGTCTATTCTACGCTCTGGAAACAAGTGGACCTTTTACATCAACACAACAGACACTAAACTGACCAAAGAGACAGCAAACACAGGAAAAGTGCCCAGTGACATACTGATGAGTTATACACAGCTGCTGTTATTAAACCAGTGAGGCAACCTGGTCTCAGAGCTAAAGCACAGGAGGCGCTGATGGTCTTTATAACAGCGCTCTGAATGCACCACAGCAAAGCCCAGTGCTACTCATCCTCCTGATCATCTCCAGACCATCACACAGACACACACACTCACTCTCAGTGATTCTGCACAGGAGCTCTACAGGTAAACCTCACCACAAACGTCAGATATAAAGAGAAATCGTCACTGACCACAGAGAGCATCAGTTTCATCAGAGGCATCAGGACAGTCGTCCACTCCATCACATAGCTGACTAGTCAGAATACACGTCATCTCATCAGCACAGGAAGTTTGATAAGGGCCACACGTTCCTACAGACATGAGCAGAAAAATGTTAAAATGTCTGCATGAACATCTGGAAGGATGCAGCTGAAGGGGCATCACCTCCTGTAGGGTTGATGCTGGTCCCTGCAGAGGCTGTTGTTCCAGATGTTCGAGATGCAGTTATAGCTGCAGATGTTGTTGCTGCAGATGTTGTTCCAGATGCAGATGTTGTTTCAGATGCCGTTATTTCTGTAGATGTTGTTCCAGATGGAAAAGAATAAAATACAATAGAATAGCACTGTATTGCCAACAAAATTATGGTTGCTCCACACCAATTGTGCTGGAGTAAAGTATAAATAGGAGACAGGAGAAATATATGCTATCAAGAGAAAGGCACACATTGCAGAACAAAGTGCGTGGAAGCAGCATGGAGAAAAGACTTCGACTGAGTACCAAGTCTGTGTGTGTTTCCTGAGTGATGAGGGTTACACAGACCAAATTCAAATCAAATTCAAATTTTATTTGTCACACACACACAACCATACACAGTATGACATGGGGGTGAAATGCTTGTAGCTGTACAATGCCCGACCATTAAATGACAGAAGAAAAGTTTTACAATATTTACAATTTACAGGTTACTACAGAATTTACAAATTAACTTAGGAAATTACAGTAAAGAATGTGCAAATAGCAGAAGAGATTATAAAGATTATAAATTATAGGAATTATAGGATTATAGGAAATGTGTGGTGGTGCGTGTGGTGACGTGTGTGAGAGTCCAGTCTTATAGTGACGTGTTTGGGAGAGTCCAGTCCTACACCTGGTTCAGGCCCCGAATAGCCTGGGGGAAGAAGCTCCTCCTCATTCTCTCTGTTTTGGCCTTAAGGGAGCGGAAGCGTTTCCCAGACCTCAACAGTGAGAAGAGTCCATTGTTGGGATGGGAGAGGTCCATCATAATCTTCCTAGCTTTGGACTTGCACCGCTTGGTGTAGATGGACAGCAGGTCACGGAGCTCTGATTGAATGATGCGTTCGGCCGAGCGTACCACCCTTTGCAGATCTCGTCTGTCCTGCTTGGTGCTGTTCCCAAACCAGGTGCAGATGTTTGCCGTCAGGACGCTCTCGATGGTGCAGGAGTAGAAGTTCTTGAGCACCTTCAGTGGCAGATGGAAGTCTCTAAGTCTTCTGAGGAAGAAGAGACGCTGCTGGGCTTTCTTAACCAGGGTGTTGATGTGACAGGACCATGACAGGTCCTGAGTGATGTGGACACCCAGGTATCGGAAACTGTCCACTCTCTCCACTGGCGTGCCACTGATGATGAGGGGTTTGTAATTCCTCGCCTGCTTTGTAGTGAAGTCCACGATCAGCTCCTTAGTCTTGCTGATGTTTAGGAGGAGGTTATTCTCCTGGCACCAGGTCTCCAGGTTCCTAATCTCCTCCAGGTAGGCCGTCTCGATGTTGTCGGAGATCAGGCCCACAACAGCAGTGTCGTCAGCAAACTTGACAATGGAGGTGGTGTCGGATGTGGCAACACAGTCATAAGTGTACAGTGAGTACAGCAGGGGGCTTAAAACACAGCCCTGAGGAACTCCAGTGCTGAGTGAGATGGAGGGGGAGACTTGTTTTCCCACCCTCACTGATTGGGGTCTGTCTGTGAGGAAGTTGAGGATCCACTGACACAGTGATGAGCTGAGTCCTAGATCCGTCAACTTGGTGAAAAGCTTAGAGGGAATTATTGTGTTGAATGCTGAACTGTAGTCCACGAACAGCATCCTAACATAATTCCCTCTGCCAGTGTCCAGGTGACTCAGGGATGTGTGGAGCAGGTGAGATATGGCATCGTCTGTGGAACGATTAGTCCGGTAAGCAAACTGAAGTGAGTCGATGGTGGCAGGAAGTGAAGAAGTGATGTGATCTCTCATCAGTCTTTCAAAACACTTCATCACAATTGAAGTCAGTGCTACTGGACGGTAGTCATTGTGGCAAGCGGGCTGTTGTTTCTTTGGAACAGGAACAATAATGGACTGTTTGAAGCACGTGGGAACCACAGCTTGGGCCAGGGAGAGGTTGAAGATCTCCGTGAACACCGGTGCTAGTTGATCAGCGCAGGCTCTAAGGACCCGGCCAGGGATTGCATCTGGTCCTGCTGCCTTCCTGGTGTTCACCCTCCTGAAGGTGTTCCTCACGTCATGCTCTGTGATGACGAATGCATTTTCTTCACTGGTGCACTCCGACCATGGCTCAGATCGGTGGTGGGTTTGACAGGGGTGCGGTGTGGGGAGGTAGTGCTTGTTAACAGTCTGAATGGCTCAGGGTAAGAAGCTATTTGAGTCTGGCGGTGTGGGACTTGACTGACATGAGGCACCAACCGGAGGGCAGTGGGTCAAACAGGTGGTAGACGGGGTGTGAGGGGTCACCTCTGATGGCCCTGGTTTTCCTGAGAAAGGAGGCTCTGGGGTGTTTGAGGGCAGCCAGGGAATTTTTAGGCAGTGTTATGACCCTCTGCACTACCTTTCTGTTCTCAGTCGAGGCCACTGAGTACCAAACACCAGGCAGGAGGAGAGCATGCTCTCCACTGAGGAGCAGAAGGCCAGCAGCAGCTCCTGGTTATTCTTCCTCGGGACACGGAGGAGGTGCAGCTGCTGCTGGGCCTTCTTCACCAGGGCGATGGTGTTGTGGGTCCAGGTGAGATCGGCAGGGAAGTGGGTGCCCAGAAACCTGAAGGTTCAATTTAATTGTATTTATACAGCGCCAACTCACAACACCAGTCGCCTCAAGGCACTTTATATTGTAAGGTAGACCCTACAATAATAAATACAGAGAGTTTGAAGTTTGCAGCTGCTGTTGGGTGTTGGGGGGGCTCTGGGCGTTGTATTGTATTTAGTGAGGGCTTGGATGCCTCTCCACCCTGGAAGAGGTTGTTATCAGTCAGGAAGCACTTGTCATCCACAGTTTTCAGTTAGGATAAACCCAGATGACTTGGTCGCTGTTACATTTTCTAAACAACACTTCATGGAGAAGAACAGACCAAGTGAAGGTCTCCAGGTCCTGCACCTGGTTCAAAGTCTAATTTGAGCAGCTGAAGAGGAATAACCCATGACTCAGGAGGAATAAACACATGAAGCCGTCCCCACCAGACTGAGACTTTTCTCTGCAGAATCCCGAACATGAACCTGTGAGAACCTGTGCAGGTGAGTCGTGCTGTCAGTGTTTTAGTTTAATGTGTCTGAATGTGAACATGGGTACAGCATTATTACCCTTCCTGTGAGAAATGTTGGGTGGGGGGGGGGGTGGAGCCTATCACAGCTGTCACAGGGAAGGAAGCAGGTCATAACAATCCACTGCATAATAATCATCATTAAAAAAAGTAAACTTAAAGTTAACCTTCAGTTATTTACTGGTAAAAAACAATAAAATAATCCTTATTGGAGACATGTGTGTCAGGTTTGTTTGGGTTAAAGTATGATGGATATCATCTCAGTGGAAGCATCACAGGGCGGGTGCCAAGCACGCTGAAGTCTCCAGTACAATAAAAAATATTGGTATTATACAAACTAATGACATAAACAAAAACATCAGCAAACATCACTCACACGTGTCCCGTTTAACTCGCTGTTGGGTTGTTTTTGTTGCCTTAAAGCTCAGACCTGCACAGGTTCTGTTTTTATCTTTTATGTTCAGCACGTTGAGTGTTTGCATCTCTACTTTCAAGATTAGGCTTCAAACTTCCCTTTTTGCTAAAGCATATAGTTAGGGCTGGACCAGGTGACCCTGAATCCTCCCTTAGTTATGCTGCAATAGACGTAGGCTGCCGGGGATTCCCATCATGCATTGAGTTTTTCCTTTCCAGTCACCTTTCTCACTCACTATGTGTTAACAGACCTCTCTGCATTGAATCATATCTGTTATTAACCTCTGTCTCTCTTCCACAGCATGTCTTTATCCTGTCTTCCTTCTCTCACCCCAACCAATCACAGCAGATGGCCCCGCCCCTCCCTGAGCCTGGTTCTGCTGGAGGTTTCTTCCTGTTAAAAGGGAGTTTTTCCTTCCCACTGTCGCCAAAGTGCTGCTTATAGGGGGTCATATGATTGTTGGGCTTCTCTCTGTATCTATTTTTGTACAATCTACTGTACAATATAAAGCACCTTGAGGCGACTGTTGTTGTGATTTGGCGCTATATAAATAAAATTGAATTGAAAATTGAATTGAATTGAAATTGAGTGTGATGGAATAAAACTGATATGAAATGTTTGGAGGTCTG